GAACCTATATGCAGCTGGGCGTGGTGGTGCATGTCTGTAGTCCCAGCACTTGGGAGGCAGAGGCAGGTGGATCTCTGTGAGTTCAAGGCCAGCCTGGTCTACATAGTGAGTTCCAGGACAGTTGGGGCTACAGGGAGATCCTGCTTCAAAAAAAAAAAAAAAAAAAAACCCAAACAAAAAAACCCCCCAAAACCCCACCTATTTGCTACTAAATTTGAAAACCTAAAAGAAACGGATGGGTACCTAAAGGCATGGGAACCACCAAAACTAAACCAAGAAGAGATTAACAGATTAAACAGACCCATACACAAAAAGAAATTGAAACAATAATACAAGACCTCTTGACTAAAAAAAGCCCAGGAACAGATGGATTTACACAGAATTTTATCAGACATTTAAAGATCTACATCCAATATTACTTAATTTATTCAAAAAGATAGAAATGGAGGGAGAACTTCTAAATTCCTTCTATGAAGCCGACATCACTCTCATACCAGATCCAGGTAAAGATACAACCAAAAAAGAAAACTATAGACCCATATCCTTAATGAACATGGATGCAAAAATTCTCAACAAGATACTTGCAAACTGCATACAGACACATATCACAAAGATCATCCACCATGATCATCCCATAGATACATGGATGGTTCAATACATGTAAGTCAAAAAATGTCATAAATCATATAAAGGGGCTCAAAGACAAGAACCACATGGTCATCTCAATAGATGCAGAGAAGGCCTTTGACAAAATTCAACATACATTTATGTTCAAAGTCCTAGAGGGAATTGGACTGGAGGGAACATACCTCAACATAATTAAAGCCATATATAACAAACCCACAGCCAACATCATTCTAAATGGAGAAAAACTGGAAGCATTCCCATTGAAATCAGGAACCAGACAAGGCTGCCCACTATCCCCACTTCTCTTTAACATAGTACTTGAAACTCTTGCAAGAGCAATAAGACAAGAGCAGGAGATCAAAGGAATAATAATTGGAAAAGAGAGCAAATTATCCCTTTTTGCAGATGATATGATATTAGATCTAAGAGATGCCAAAAATTCCACCAGAAAACTCCTAGAAATTATTAACATGTTCAGTAAAGTGGCAGGTTACAAAATTAACCTACAAAAGTCTGTTGCCTTTCTATATACCAGTGACAAGAAACCAGAGAAAAAGTATATGGAAACACCCCCCTTCACAAAAGCTGAAAAAAAAAAAAAAAACAACTCAGAATATACCTGACCAAAGACATTAAAGAGCTCTACAATAAAAATTTTAAATCTTTAAAGAAAGAGATTGAGGAAGACTTCAGAAGATGGAAGGACCTCCCATGCCCATGGATTGGAGGAATTAATATTGTGAAAAATGACCATCCTACCAAAAGCCATTTATAGATTCAATGTGATGCCAATCAAAATCCCATGACATTCTTCACAGAATTGGAAAAACATCCTAAGATTCATATGGAAGCATAAAAGACCTAGGATAGCCAAAGCAACCCTGAGCAGTAAGAGCAGTGCCGGGGGATTACTATACCAGATTTTAAGCTATATCACAGAGCTATAGTCATAAAAACAACATGGTACTGGCACAAAAAGAGACCCATAGATCAGTGGAACAAAATTGAAGACCCAAATATGAGTAATTGCAATTTTAGCCACCTGATATTTGACAAAGGGGCCAAGAACATTAACTGGAGGAAAGACAGCATGTTCAGCAAATGGTGCTGGCAAAACTGGATCTCCACTTGGAGAAGAATGAAACTAAACCCCTATCTTTCACCTTGCACAAAAGTCAATTCCAAATGGATCAAAGACCTCAATGTAAAGCCTGAAACTCTGAAACTGTTAGAAGAAAACATTGGCAAAAACCTACAAGATATAGGTGTAGGAAAGGATTTTCTAAACTGGACATCAATTGCTTAGGAAACAAGGTCAAGAATCAACAAATGGGACCTCATTAAACTAAAAAGCTTCTGTACATCAAAGGAGGCAACCAGGGAAGTGAAGAGAAAACCCACAGAATGGGAGAAAATCTTCACCAGTGACACATCTGACAGGTTTAATATCCAGAATATATAAAGAACTAAAAAATCAGAATCAAGACAAGAAGTAACCCAATTAAAAGATGGGCTAAGGAGCTGAACAGAGAGTTCTCAAAAGAAGAAGATGGCTATGAAGCATCTTAAAAGATGTTCAGGATGGGGGGGGGGGTGGCACACGCCTTTAATCCCAGCACTCAGAAGGCAGAGGCAGGCAGATCTCTGAGTTCAAGGCCAGCCTGGTCTACATAGTGAGTTCCAGGACAGCTGGGGCTACAGGGAGACCCTGTCTCAAAAAGACCAAAAAAAAAAAAAAGTTCAACATCACTAATAATTAGGGAAATGAAAATTAAAGCCACTTGTTCAACCCCTATGGAAAGCAGTGTGGAGAACTCTTAAAAAAACTACAAATGAACCCCATTTGACCCAGTTATACCACTCCTTGGCATACACCCAAAGAACTCGTCTTATTGCAGAGACACTTGTACATCCATGTTTGTTGCCGCTCTTTTCACAATGGCTAAGAGATGGAAGCAACTAAGTGTCCCTCAATTGACGAGTAGTTAATGAAAATGTGGTTCATATGTACGATGGAGTTTTACTCAGCAGTAAAGAAAGATGAAATCATGAAATTTGCAGGTAAATGGATGGAATTAGAAACTGTTATACTAAGTGAAGTAATATAGACTCAGAAAAAAAAAAAATCGACATATGTTCTCCCTCACATGTGGATCCTAGAGCCAAACCCTGATAAGTGAGTGTGTATCCAGACATAACTACAGGAGCCAGGATAATGGAAAGGAAACAGGGAGGTAAAGGAAAAAAGAATCTGAAAGAGAAGAACAGTAGGAAACAGGCCTTAATAGGGAGATATGGATAAAAATTGGGTTAGTTTAAGGGAGGGGGGAGGGCAGGGTATACAAGGAACCTACGGGATAAAGGGAAAGAAGGAGCTCAAGAGAGGTAGGACCATAGGAGAAGTATTAGTAAGGGAGAAAGGGGGGAAATGGGGGCACCTCAATTGGGGAAACCATGATGGAGGGGTGAGACAATGTGAGAGATAAATAATGCCTAGCTAGTTTTAAAAACCAGAGGAAACCATATTAGTCCAACAATCTACTGACAAATTATACATACCAGATCAAGAAATATATGTCTAGGTAAGGTTTTTCTGAGAACAATTGATCTTTGCCCAAGATTTGTCTTCATGGCACACAGTACCAGACTGGTGGAACTAAGCTTCTTGGGTGTTTAAGAGACATACTTTGAGGTCTATAATAATTTGGTCAGAGGGACATAAAGGACACTTTTTGCTCCTTCCCTCCTAGGTTGACTAGTTCCAAGGGACTATGAGCATCTCCTAAAATGTTCTGTAATTGTGGTGGGTCACCTGTCCTCTTGATTAAGGAGGCGGAGGAGACTCCACGAGGTGGACTTGAACCAGTGTCCAGTCTACGTAGAGGAGGGTTAACAGAGAGGAAACATTTCCTCCATGCTTCCAAGTAAAGCCAACATGGTCAAGCAGGACCGTTGACTTACCTTCACATATTAAAAAAAAATGTAGGAAACAGCATATTTTAAAATGAAATGGAGATCTTCTTAAAAGAGTAAAACCTCATTTAGTTTTATATCTCACAGTTTTTATACTGAGTTTCATATTGTATAACTGTATTAATTCAACTATGAACCTAAAATTTAGAGCCGCTTTTGAAAGAGATGTATCCTGGCTCTGGAGTGTGTTCCTGAATATGTTAAAGCTGTAATGAAATGCTTCTTTTAATCATGTGGTTATTAAATTTAAAAAAAAAGATTAAAAATAATTGTTCAAAGCATAAAAATTTGCTCCTTAATAATTAGTAGATGTGAAAAACATTACCATTGAAATCTACCTGACGACTTTATATCCATTCTCAGATGCCAAGGAGCTCAGAAAGTAACCGACTATGACTAGTAATAATTAGATATATAGAGATTAGGAACGCATGTGCAAACACCTTAATGTCAATTGCATTAAAAATGAATTTTTCTATACAAAAATGTATTTTAATAATGAAATGGAGATCTTTTTTAAAGGTTATAATCTCATTTAATTTTATATCTTATAGTGTTTATACTGAGTACAATATTGTATAACTGTATTAATTCAACTGTAAACCTAAAAATTTACAGCCAGTCTTGAAAGAGATGCATCTTAGCTCTGGAAATTGTTATTGAATATGTCATTGCTGTTGTAATGAAATGCTTCTTCTGATTAAGTGCTTATTAAATAATTTAAAAACAACAACAAAAACCAATAGCTTCATATAAAGTGGTTTGTTGTTACCATCTTGGTACCCCAGTTTCTTCTCATAAGTGAGAGGTGACAACAGTTTTTAAGGTTTTAATGACAGAATCCTGTGAAGTGCCAAGCACATGGTATGGGAACTCCGAGTCAGGGCCATGTTGTGATCTGTGTTAGCCATGCTGTAGTGTGACATTGGGTTAAGCTGCACTGCAGTGTGACCCTGGGTTAGCCTGTCGTATGATCTTGAGTTAGCCACACTGTAGTGTGAACCCTGGTTAAGCTGCACTGCAGGTAATTTGCTGAGACAGAATCCTGCAACAGAGATTTCTCGTTGGGGCATTTGGCATGGGAAGGAGTCCTTAGCCTCCTTCGACCTGTAGGTTTCTCTCACCTTCTCTGCACTGATGTCTTGACTGGGTGAACTCTGAGCAGCTCTAGTAAACTGAGATTTACTGCTGTGGAAATCTGCTTTCAGGATACTTCCTACCTGTTTATCACTGGCCCTGACGTAGTGAAGTCTGTCACCAATGAGGATGTCACTCAGGAGCAGCTGGGTGGTGCCAAGACCCACACCACCATGTCAGGTGAGAGGTTGACCCTGGCCTTCCTGCCCTCAAAAGGTGAGAAGAGGGCATTGCAAAGGAGAATGAGGAATGTTTTCAAAATACCACCTCCTTAGGAAGACACACATAAGTAGTAAGGTAGATTTAGTGTCTCAAGTTTCTTCAGTGGCATGGGGATAAAGCCCTGGGCCTCTTGCATGCTAGGTTAACTCTTCTCCACTGAGCTAGCCTCACTCCCTGATAGTCTTTTTTTTTTTTTTTTTTTTAAGTTTTTTCTTCCTTCTCTCCCCTTCCCTCAGCTCCCCTCCCCTCCCTTCTTAACTATTGAGCCATTTCTCTGGTCTACTGAATACTCTCTTTTTTAAAACTTTATTTACTATTTTTATTTTATGTATATGAGTGTATTGCTTGCTTGTAGGTAGGTGTGTGTACCCATGTCCTGCAGTGCCCGTGGAGGTCTGAAGAGGGTGTCGGATCCCCAGGAACTGTAGTTATGGATGGTTGTTAGCTGCCATGTGGGTGCTAGGATTCAAATCTGGGTCTTCTGCAAGAGTAGCCAGTGCTCTTAACTGCTGAGTCATCTCTCAAGCCCCTTAATACTCTTTAAAGTGACCTTAAAGCTCATTGTCTAGGTGATGGTCATAGTAGATAGCACCTGAACTTTCAAAGAAATGGTATCTTGTGGGTTTTCCTTTGCTTTGGCTTTGAGACAAAAGTTATTTCTATAGAAAGGCCTAGAGAGAACAGACATGGTCCTGATATTAGTGAGTGCCTACTTGCTTTTGGAGTAGGGCTTGCAATTGTGTATTTTTTTGGAAAAAAAAAAAACAAAAACTAGCTGTGAGAATATTGCCTGCCACACAGCGAGCAGTGTAGCTAGATGGGGCAAGACAGGTGCCTCCAGAAGGACTGGGAAGCCGCAGGAGGCTGGGTGACTGTTAGGACCTCGCCTTGTAGTATCTAAAGCGTTGCATCATTATTGGCCAGCATTCCCTTCCTATTGTCTGTAAAATGGAGATGTGTCTTATTAGTGGTCTTAGAGCTGACACAGTCTTCTAAGTTTTTAATTTTTTTTTTTTTTTTTTTTTTGGTCTTTTTGAGAAGGTCTCCCTGTTGCCATAGCTGGCCTGGATTTGCTATGGAGACCAGGCTGGCCTCGAACTCACAGAGATCCACCTGCCTCTCCCTCCCGAGTGCTGGGATTAAAGGCGTGCACCACCACACCTGGATAATTTTTAATTAATTTTTAAGTTAACAGAGTAATGCAGAGTAATGTGTTTGTGCTATTTTCTTTAGATTGTTTTTTTTCCTTGTCTTTTTGAGACAGGGTCTCCATATAGTCCCAGCTGTCCTGGAACTCACTATGTAGACCAGGCTGGCCTAGAACTCACAGAGACCTGCCTGCCTCTGCCTCCTGAGTGCTGGGACTAAAGGTGTGCACTAACATGCCCTGCAAAATTTTTAAATTAATTTATTTACTTTTATATGTATTGTTATTTTGCATACATTCAAGTGCACCCATACATGCATTACCCACAGAGGCCAGAAGAGGGTGTCAGATCCCCTGGAACTGGAGTTGCAGGTGGTTATCAGCTGCCATGTGGGTGCTAGGAATTGAACCCAGGTCCTCTGCAAGAACAGGCAGTGCTCTTAACCCCTGAGCCATCTCTCCAGCCCCCTTTGTGCTATTTTCATGCAGATGTGTTACTGTTCTTGGTCCTAACTTGTCTCCCTCCCCATCACTGTCCCTACACCCCCATCCACCTCCAGCTGGTTCCCCACCTTCTTCCACGTAGTTCCCTCTCCTGCTTTCATGCCTATGTACTCTATCCTTCCTTCCCGTCTCTTAAGATTTCTTCTGCCTGTCTTATGAACCCCATTTTATTTTTGGGTTTTTTTTTTTTTTTTTTTTTTGTCTTTTTGAGATAGGGTCTCCCTGTAGTCCCATCTGATCTGAACTCACTATGTAGACCAGGCTGGCCTTGAACACACAACAATCCGCCTGCCTCTGCCTCCCAAGTGCTGGGACTAAAGGCATGTACCACTGCGCCCGGCTTCCATTTTAGTTTTGAAGTATGACTTTTAAAAAGCCGAAGCAGTTAAGAGCACTGACTACTTTTGCAGAGGACCCGGGTTCGAGTCTCAGCACCCCCATGGCGGCTACGAATGGTCCTTAACTCCAGTTCCAGGGGAATCCGAAGCCCTCTTCTGACCTTTGCGACACGAGTGCACTCACATACGTGTAGGCAGTGCACTCATACACATAAATTAAAAATAATAAATATTTAAAAACAAAGGCTACAGCTCATGGCTGGGGAGATGGCTTAAGCAGTTAAAGTGCTTGCCACACAACCAAGAGGACTGGAGTTAGGATCCCAGGAGCCCATGTAGATGCTGGGTAGACATGGCAGCCTGCCTGTAATTCCAGCCTCAGAGAGCTGGAGCAAGCTCGCTAGTGAGGGTAAGCCATATTGTCAAGCTCTGGGATTGATTAACAGACCCTGCCTCAAAGGATAAGGTGGAAGAATGATCAAGGAAGAGTCCCAGTATCTACCACACACAGGTCTCTTACATGCATGCATACACATGTGCATGTGCACCAGTACACATGTGTGAACACATGCATCAGGCAGGCCACAATCTCACAGAGATCCATCTTCTACTTTCTGAGTGCTGGGGTTAAAGTGTGCCTCCATGTCTGGTACATGGCTGGTTTCTTTACCTAATGCACTTCTTAAATTTATTTTTGCTTTAAGACAAAGTCTCACTGGTCCCCTGGTTGGCCAAAAACTCACAATGTAGATCAGCTTGGCTTGAACTTGCAAGAGCTTCTGCTGGTATTACAGTCCATGCCACCACACCCAGCTAAGCATACATCGTTAAAGACTTCTCCATGCTGTATCACGCATCAGCACTACATTCCTTCATGTAATTTTTTTTTATAGAGACAGGATCTCACTTTGTTGCCTAGGCTGGCCTTGAACTCATTATTCTCCTACCCCAGTCTGCAGAGTACTGGGATTATGGGTGTGGGCTATCTTGATTGTATTTTCACTTAAAAAAAAAAAAATCAGGGACTGGCTCAGCAGCTGTTCTTGCAGAAGAGCCAGGTTCAAATCCCAGCACCCACCTTGTGGCTAACAACTGTCCATAACTTTAGTTCCAGGGGATCCAACACCCTCTTCTGTCCTCCACAGGTGCTGCAAGACACAGGTGCACTTACACACACACAGGTATAACACTCATACACATAAAAAAAAATAATCGGTGGTGGAGGAGCTAGAGAGATGGCTCTGTGGTTAAGAATGCATGCAGAGGGCCTGAGTTTGATTCCCAACACCCATGTCAAGCTGCTCACAACTGGCCTGTGGCCTCCATGGACACCTGCAATCACATCTTCATACCCACACATAGACTTATACACATGCACATAATTTTAAAACATGTTGGGGCTGGAGAGATGGCTTAGTGGTTAAGAACACTGGTTGTTCTTGCAGAAGACCCAGGTTTGCATCTTATCACCCACATGGCAGCTAACAACTGTCTGTAAGTCCAGTTCCAGGGGATCCGACAGCCTTTTCTGTCCTCCTCGGGCATTGCACAGCATGGGTTTACTCACCTACATGCAGGCAATACACGCATACATATAAAAAAAAATTAAAACAAAAGCAAAAAAAACCATACTGTTAAAAATCAGTGGTGGACATTAAATCCCAGAGCCTCGTGCATACTAGACACATGCTCTCTTGCTGAGCCACAGCCCTGGTTCTACCATATGTTGTTTATCCATTGGTCACTTAATAGATATTTTGGTTTTCTAATATGTATGTACTATATTTGTTATATCTATATATCTTATATATCTAATTTAGTACCCTATCTTACACATTTGTTCACAGGTTTTTGCATGGACGGTTGTTTTATTTCTTGCTGGTATATGAATAGGTGTGGGGTTTCTCAGTGAGACAGCTGTTTATCATTTTGAGGAATTCCAGACTCTTCCAGAGTGGCTATGCTAGTTTACATGTACTTCTTGAATAAAAGAATTCTGTCCTATTGAAGATGCTTCTTAGTCATGGAACACCTGTGTGTGAAGTATTGTGCTGGGTGCTAGGAACGCATCCATGGAGAGAGCAACGAAACCCCTCTCCATGTGGAGCTTATATTCAGTGTGAGAGTTAGGTACTAAAACACACAAAAAAGTACAAGAAAGTAGTGTGTCTGGAGGTACTGTGTTCTGTGGAAAAAGAACAGGGTACAGAGATCAGATTGTTGGTTTCACATATGGTGCAAGGGTAGGCCTCACTGAGAGGATAGCAGATTTGAAGGAGTTCAGTGTGTGTGAGTCAGGGGAAACACTACAGTCATAAGCAGTAGCTTGTGCAAAGGCCCTGGGGAATAACAAGGAGGGTGATTGAGTAGAGACCTCACCATTTCACATAAAAACCCCTCTGGCTGCTGCGGGGACAAGAGATTATGCAGTAATGATGGACCTGAGAGAGTCCTCAGCTCCACAGCCTGCATCATGCCCGTGGCCTTATTGTTTTGGTCTTTATTTCAGAACACTTTTCCAGTACAATGGCTTGATTCCCTCTCCAGAGCCAGCTAGGTCCTCTTTACCTTCTGCTGTTACTGGCCCCTCCCCCATTGTGCTCCAGGCCCTTTCTGGGTAGGGGAGACTGAGCTGCTACTGTCAGAGCTGATAGAGAAGTGTCCCACAGCAACCACAAGGAAAAGTGTGAATGCGGGGAAAGTGAGGGTGTGGGGATAGGTGTGGAGGCCACTCTGAGAGCAGAGGACCGAGCGCAGAGCACAGAGAATGGCTCTATGAACCGAGCTGTGTCTGTCTGGAGGCACGTGCTGTGCGCCCTTCCTGGGCAGAGCTGTGGGCCTGGTTGGCTGCAGCCAGGCCAGCCAGCATCGTCACATGACATCTTTCCCTTCACCGGCCTTTCCACGCTCCCGGTGTTCTCAGGTGTGGCTCATAGAGCTTTTGAGAATGATGTCGATGCCCTGTGTAACCTCCGCGAGTTCATCAACTACCTGCCCCTCAGCAGCCAGGACCCGGCTCCCATCCGAGAGTGCCATGATCCCAGGTGGGTTCCAGCCAGCTTGCCTTCTCTGGTCCTCTGGCCCCTCTGCCCTGACAGGACCTGTCTTGGGCATCTTGGAGCAGATAGTAGTGTGTAAGCAAGGTTCTCAGCAGTGCGGAGGAGGGTGGCACGGCTGGGGACATTTGGGAACAGGAGCAGTGCAGGAGGATTTCATTGCTTTCTACCTATCTAGTGTCTGATGGGTAGCTTGGGGGCGAGAGTAGATCCAAAACAAAACATCTTGTTTTTGTTAAGACTTTTGAGTAGTCTGAACTTGGAGATGGAATATTATTTTGATAGAAACAACCGAAGTGACATGAACAGTATATCCTTAAAGAGTTGCATTTGGGTGTGCTGCTTTTGGCCTGTGTAAGATGCTGGGCTGGCTGCCTTGCAAAGACCTGCATTCTCCTTGTTTGGGGTCCACTGCCTTACCTGGGGAAAGCATACCACAGAGCAGGCTGGAGGCCCGGCCAGGAAACCACTGGGCTGCCCTCTGTTGTCTGCCTCCACTGCAGATTAGAACCACTTGGCTTGGCCTTGTTTCTCAGAAGGGATTAGGAACTGCATCCTTTGGGGAGAGACCACCTTTAGATACCTGAGCTCCTGTTGCCCTGAAGTCATGTGTCCAGGGCTCCCACTCCTCAGGGGACACAACCAGGGGGCCACAGGAAGGGAGAGTGGTCACAAGACCCAGAAACTGCCCTTTTACTGAGCAGCTGTTTGGGGTTCTAAAAGGGTTTAGAGCATTATTTGCCCGAAAGATGTGGTCTAAGGATCCAGAGTATCTGAGTGGCCTGCATTGGCCCAGGGATGCTGTTTGGTGGCCCGTGAGAAGCTGGGGCCATGCCAAGTGTAGAGCTGTCTGGGAAGTTGGCCTGACCAAGGTCAAACCTGTACTGAGGCAGCATCTGGGGGTGAGTGTTGCCGTTGGCCACCCACATAGGCAGGAAGGCCTGAGAGTCTGTTGTAAAGGAGGTTGTGAGGGATGTGAGCTGCTGAGCCCTGCGTGGGGTGGGTGCCAGCTCTGGCCTGAGCTCCCTGCCCTGCAGGAAGAGTCACAGGCCAATATGTGACAGTTTGATCCCAAGTGATTCTGTGCAGTGGGTCTTCAGCTCTGCTTTTTAAAGGAGCTGTAGGTTGACCTTCCTACAGAGAATGTTTACCCACTGAGGTTCCTGCAGAATGCCAGTGCTGCGGTCCGAGTTCTTGCCCTTTTCTCTTTGATTTTTTTTAATTAAATTTTTTTTTTTTTTTTTATGTGTATTGCCAGCATGTGCACCTGTGTCTTGCAGTGCCCAGGGAGGACAAAAGAGGGCTTCAGATCCCCTGGAACTGGAGTTATAGATGATTGTTAGCCACCTCGTGGGTGCTGGGATTCGAACCCGGGTCTTCTGTAAGAATAGCCAGTGTTCTTAACCACTGAACCATCTCTCCAGCCCCACCCGTTAGCCTTTGATGTTGGGAAGTTAGAGTGGGGTTTCCTCAGCTCTGTCCTGCTCTATTGTTCCTTTAGAGTTCACTCTGGGTCTGTGATACAAGAATCATTCAAAAGGGGTAAATGAAAGAATTAGAACTGTGTGAAAAATCTCATTTTTTCCTGTTTAAAGAAAAAGTCTGGGCATAGTTGGACATGCTTTTAGTCCCAGGAGAGAGATAGGCAGGCAGCTCTGTGAGATCGATGCCAGCCTGGTCTACATACTGAATTCCAGGCCAGCTGGGGCTACAGAGAGACCCTGTCTCACAACAAACAAAAAATCTCATGAATTGGTATGCACTCAGCTTATGTTTAGTGACGTGGTGACGATGATATTTCTGTGCAGGTCCAATGGGGACAGAACCACCCAGTCCCCATGTTGTGTCACCTTCATTTCCTTCCTAGCTCCCCACAGAAGCCACTGACTCCATCTGCCTCTTTTCCAGTGACCGTCTGGTTCCTGAGCTTGACACGATTGTCCCTCTGGAATCAACCAAAGCCTATGACATGCTGGACATCATACACTCTGTAAGCACCATGTTTCCTGTCTTGCCTGGCCTCGCTCGGCCACAGCCATGCTTTATGAGACTTGGCCTTGATGTCAGCATAGGTGGGACACAGGGGGCCAGGGTCCACCACGCAGGGTGTTCTGGTAGGAAATAGTGGCTGCAAACCCCTAATGGCCCAGATGGACCTGAGAGTTGAGGGAGGGGTGGCCAGTTGGGTCAGCAGAACTCAGGGGCTTTTGGAAGGCACTTAGATGCATGGGATTGGTGCCATATCCCGAGCCTGGAGTAAGGAGGGGGTCCATCCTTATTGGATGCCATTGTTGGGAGCTGTATGATCAGGGCACCCTATTTTCTAGAAAAAGGAGAGAATGTGAGGCATCTCGTGTTGGGTCATGATGTATGTGGAGGTCCGTGGTGAACAGGAGCCACTGTGCCTTTTCCTTAATGTAGTTCCTTGGCTTGTTCGGCCAAAGCAGCCGTGTTGGACACGGAGACTACGGTGTCACAGTGTGTCTTTCTCGCACACACTGCCCTCAGCTGTCCTTGCTTGGTAGACTACTGATGGCTCTGTCAGCTCAACCTGTCCTGGAGCCTGACTTTCTCCCTATGACCTGTCTCCTTTATTTGGGGAACCTGTAGGAATCAGCAGCCATCGCTAGACTGCCCCTCTTCATGGCTGAGCTCTGTAGCATTTGGCGGGAAATTTTACCTGCAGCTGCACAAGGAAATTCACAAAAGTGGATTATGAGTGAATTCAGGAAAAAAAATTACATTTGATGAAATAAAGATCACAAAGCCAGTGAGATGACTCAGTGGGTAAAGGTGCTTACCACCAAGCCCTGAAGATCTGAGTATGATCCCTAAAGAGCTATATGGTGGAAGAGAGAACTAACTTTTCCTACAAGTTATCTTCTGACCTCCACACACACACGTGTGCACACCACACACACGTGTGCACACCACACACACACACTAAATGTTACATTAAAAAATTGAAGGGGGGCTGGGTATGGTGGCGTACGCCTTTAGTCCCAGCACTTGGGAGGCAGAGGCAGGTGGATCTCTGTGAGTTCAAGGCCAGCCTGGTCTACGTAGTGAGTTCCAGGACAGCTGGGGCTACAGGGAGACCCTGTCTCAAAAAGACCGGAAAAAAAAAAAAAATGAAGGGCAGGGCTATAGAGATGGCTCAGTGCTCAAGCACTCTGGCTGCTCTTGTAGAGGATTTTGGTTCAGTTTCCAGTCCCCACATGGCAGCTCACAACTGGCTGTAACACCAGCTGCAATCTGACACACTCTTCTGGCCTCTATAGTCATTGCACACATGTGGTGAACATATATACGTTCAGGCTAATGACTTATGCACACAATAGAAAATTTAAAAAGAGAAGAGAATCAATTATCTAGGACCAAGTACTCCTGGGCAGACTCAGATAGTTTGAACATAAAATAATAGCAGTAAAGCTGGGCATGGTGGTGCACGCCTGTAGTCCCAGCACTTGGGAGGCAGAGGCAGGCAGATCTCTGTGAGTTCAAGGCCAGCCTGGTCTACATAGTGAGTTCCAAGACAGCTGGGGCTACAGAGAGACCCTGCTTCAAAAAGAATAATAATAATAATAATAATAATAATAATAATAATAGCAGCAGTAAAAGAAAACAATCCATAGAACAAAAGAATCCCTAAAAAACTCTTCCTGAAAGAAGCGAAGAGGCAGTGAGTGGTGTTTCCTGCTGCAGAATGCTGACCGATACATGCAGAAGGAACCTTGGAACTGGACTTATCCTTGACAGCCATTGCAGCAGCAGTGGAGACTGGCAAGAACCAACCATCAGGTTAAATCGAACATACAAGGCTCTGCATTTTGATGAAAGTTTGATAAAGAACAGGAGAAGTATTTACAAATTATAGTGGCTTGACAGAGAAGAAGCTGAGTAGGCCACCACCATCATGGCCTGGTGTGAGTCCCTGAGATGTGATGATGTCTCCTGGCAGAACGCTTACCCTGAAGCAAGACACAAAGAAACTGCAAACAGCCGGGAACAGAAGGCACGCTCCCCAAGATAAGCAGTCTGCTGTCTTCAGAAGTGTCCCAACGATAGACCATGAATACTGTTGGGGGAAAAGTTACTGGACTGGGACGTACCAGCAGTTCCTGGTGGTCTTCTAGACCAGGTTTTGGTTGATGTAAAGGATGTTATTGTACTGGCTGGTAAAGCCTGATGAAGGTAGTATAGTAAAAATCAGATACTGTCTGCTTTTGATGTCACTGCAGTTGTGTCCTTGTTTTTAGAGACTAGACAGGGAGGACCTGCAAGCTCATCCTAGATGATTCGGGGGACATTATCTCTGTGTAAAAATGAGGGCAAGGCCATTGTGAAGGAGAGGTCATGGTGGTAAATGTTGGTACATGAGGCATCTGGACAAGGTGTAATGAATTTCTTTTGTACTGTTCTTGACATTTTTATGTAAGCTTAAGTCATTTCATACCAATTTCTGTGACTAATGCCAGATTCAAAGTTTAAAATTTTTCCAACAAGCTGCACCAAATAAGGGCCCCCGCTATCCGCAGCCGTGTGGGCGAGGGTTGCTGTGTCCATTCGTCAGTGGTTACTTGGGGAAATTGAGGCCAAGCTGAGCTTCCATATTATCATTCTGTGTGGCCACCTGTGATTGTGTTGGCATTTTTATCTTGATCATTTTGAGCTCAGGAAGAAATTTATTCTTACAGGTTGTTGATGAGAGAGAATTTTTTGAGATTATGCCCAATTATGCCAAGAACATTGTTGTTGGTTTTGCCAGAATGAATGGGAGGACCATTGGAATTGTTGGCAACCAGCCCAAGGTGGCCTCAGGTAGGATGGGGCCCCAGAAACCTTGGGTTGGGGTTGGAGTTGGCGACCCAGGCTGCCTGTGTGCTCAGTGCCCTGCCTGCCTTCTGCCCTTTCATGACCAGAGGGAGAAACTGAGGGGCATGTTGTGAAAGTAGCTTTCTCTTACGTCTTTAGTATCTTGGGATGCTCCTTTTATAGCTCTCTTTTTGAAGATACCTCCCTCCTCAGCCCCAAGGCCTGTCTTGTCAAGGGGTCACTTTCTGTCTCTCCTCTTTGAAGGGATTGATGTTTCGCAGTTGCATCTCCAGCCTTCAGTGGTACCTGCAGGTGCAGTAGTCAGCACCTGACAGATGACTAGCACTCACTCTCTCTCACATCTGGTGATGCGGGCAGATCTGAGGGAGACCCCTCAGGACTGTGTTGTGTGAGGTATGCACTGTGGTCACTGTCTGTGTTCACTGTTTCCCTTGTCTTTTGTTTCATTGTTTGTTTTTGCATTTATTTATTTATTTATTTATTTATTTATTTATTTATTTATTTATGATTGTTGAGACAGAGTCTCACTATAGAGCACAGGCTGTCAGCTGACCTGGAACTTGCTAGACCAGGCTGGCCTCGAACTCACAGAGATCCATCTGCCTCTGCCTCCCAAGTACTGGCACTAAAGGCGTGCTCCACCACGCCCACCCTGGTTATTTATTTTTTTTTAATTTATTTTATGTCTATGAGTGTTTTGCTGGCAAGGATGTTAAGTACACCTATGTCATGCAATGCCCAAAGAGGCCAGGAGAGGGCATCAGATCCCCTGGAACTGGAGTTAAAGACAGTTATTAGCCATCATGTGGGTGCTGGGAACTGAACCAGGTCCTCTGCAAGAGCAGCCAGTGCTCTTAACTGTTGAGCCATCTCTTCAGCCCCTAACACCCACCCGCCCCATTTTTTTTGAGACAGCATTTCACTGAGTAGCCCTGGCTGGCCTGGAACTTGCTATGTAGACTAGGTTGGTCTTGAACTCACAGAGATTCCACAGCCTCTGCCTTCCAGTGCTGGGACTAAAGGTGTGCACCACCATGTCCAGCCTTTCATTTGTCTTTGAGGAAAAACATTTAAATGCTTTCTGTCACTTGGGCATGGGTAGCATATGTCTGTAGTCCTGGCCCTAGGTAAGTTGAAGCAGGAGGGCTATGAGTTCAAGGCCAGCCTGGTTGCATAGCAAGACCCTGCTTTACACAAAACAGCAGCAACAGCATAAATTCTCCCCAGAATTTTTTTCCATGGCAAAATCTGTTCCATATAACCATTTCTGGTGTTAGCATTTATTGCATTCACATTGGTAACATGACTACTATTTCCAAATCTTGTTCGTTACCTTACGCCTGTGCTCCCATTAAGCAGGATTTCCAAATTCTTCCTAACCTGCAACCTTTGGTCATCCAAGTCTATTTTCCTTTATGAATTGACCTATGTATTTCATGTAAGTGAAATCATAAAATATCCATACTTTTATATGCCTTTTAACATTTTTATTTATATTTTATGTGTGTGAATGCTTTGTTTTGCCTGCATGCCTGTTTGTGTATCACATGTGTGCCTGGTGTCCGTGGAGACCAAAAAAGGGTATTGAGTCACCTAGAACTGGAAGTTATATGGGTTCTGGGAACCCAACCAGGTCCTCTGCAAGGGTAGCCAGTGCTCTTAACTGCTGAGCCATCTCTCTGACCCTCCCTCCCTTTTAGCATATTTTTTAGGCTCACCAATGCTATACGTGTGCCAATTCTTCATTCTTTTTTATTGCCAGATCTTACACCTGGCTCCTGGAGTCCACGATTGTTTGTTCATTTTTTTCATCAGTGGTTACTTGACACTCTGGTCATTTCTTTGGGTTACTGTAACATAGTAACTTTTTGTTACAGGGCAAATATCTTTGAGTTTCTCTTTTCATTTCTTTTGGGTATTCACTTGGAAACAAAATGACTTGGTTATGTGGTAGTTTTCTGGTTTCTGTTGTAGTAGTTTGATGTTTAACTTTCTGAGAAAACACTGTTTCCATCTCTGTGAGCAGGACACACAATTTCAGTTTTCTGCATCCTTGACAATACAGTTTTAGAAAACAGCTGGTTCAGCACGCACCTGAATTTCTAGTACTGGGAAACGGAGGCTGGAGGACTGTGAGTTTGAGACCAGCCTGGGCTACGTGACTTGTCTCATAACAAGATTCTGACTTCATCCTCCCTCTCCATCCTCTCACAGACAAATAACTTTAGAAAATAATATCCACTCTGGGTCTGGGGAGATGGTCAGTGGTTAAAGTGCTTTCTGGGCAAGTGACCAGAATTTGAATAGCCAGGACCCATATAAATGGTGAGTGGGCAGGGCAGCCCACCTTTAATTTCCTGCTTGGAAGGTAGAGATGGGGGGTCCCTGGAGCAAGCTGGTGAGGCTAGCTATATCAGTGAGCTCTGGGTTTGATTGAGATCCTGCTGCAGTGAATAAGGTGCAAGAGCTACTGAGGATGATTCCCAACATGAACCTCGGGCCTCCACATGCACACACGTGCACATATATGCACTTGCATCATGCATACTGTGTACCCACATACATATAAACACTCATACACATCGATAGGAAAAGGAAAGAAAGGAATGTTCATTCTAATGGGTGCAGAGTATATATCCTGGTGCACAAAAGAATTTAATTTTGATAATCTAAATTATCTATTTTTTATTTTTCATTGCTGTGGTTTTGGTGTCCTCAGACTCATTACCAAATCCACGGTCATGATTTGTTCTTGTGGTTTCTTCTAAAAATTTTATGATGTTAGCTCTGACACTGAGGTTTGGTTGAATTTGAATTAATTTTGTATGTGATGTGAGGTTCACCTTTATTCTTTTGCATGTGGAAATTCAGAACTCTCAGCACAATTTGTTGGAGTCGATTCCTTCCCTCCCTGGACGAGCTTGGTGTATGTGTCAGGATCCAGTGGCTGTGACTGTGTGGGGTGTAGCTGCATGGGGTGTAGCTGTTGGGGTGCTCTCTGCACTGGCTCTATTCCTTGTTCTGGGTGTCTGTCTGTATTCCAGTGCTACAGCATTTCAATTGCTGTAACTTTGTAGTTAAGTTTCAAAATTGAGAAGTGTTAGTTTTCAGTTTTGTTCTAAGATTGTTTTAGAGATTTAAAGCTGTTTTAAATTAAATTCATAAAGCTTATGAATTTGAGTAATGAGTTCCGCTTCTGAAAAAAAATGGTTGCTGGAATTTTGATAGGGATTGTGTTGAGTTTGTACTTGGGTAATATAGGATGAGCTTCCATAATCTCAAAAATCTGCAGTCTAAAAAGCTCTAAAAGCCAAAGCCTTTTGAATACTGTTATGACCCAAGTAGAAAATCCCACACTTGACCTTATGTGATGAGTCACACTAAATGGAATAAAATTACTTGCAAGTGTTGTACGGTCTGTTTGAAAGATGCATAGATTTCATGTTTAGACTTGGGTTCTTTTGGGTCCTGTGCTCAAGAAATCTCATTGTGTATAAACAGCTAGTCCAAAACCTAAGAGAACTTAAAATCCCAAACACCCTGGGCCCAAGCATTTTGGATAAAAGATACTCAGCCTGAATCTGTACTGACATCCTAGTGAGAGTGTCTCCAATGGGAGCACAGGCTATGTTTCCACATGGTCATCTTATGTTTGTTCCCTGTGCCTTCTGACCAGGTTAAGTATATTCCTGAGCATTTGTCTCTAAGATATTACTGTGACTGGAATTGCTTTGTAAACTTTCTTTGTATTATTATCTTTAAACACTGATTTCTTTACTTATTTATTTATTTATTTATTTATTTATTTATTTATTTATTTTCAGTCCTTTTGAGACAGGGTCTCCCTGTAGCCCCAGCTGTCCTGGAACTCACTATGTAGACCAGGCTGGCCTTGAACTCACAGAGATCTGCCTGCCTCTGCCTCCCGAGTGCTGGGATTAAAGGTGTGTGCCACCACGCCTGGCTAAACACTGATTTTTATTTTATGTGTATGAGTATTTTGCCTGAGTGTATATAAGTGTACTACATGCATGTAATGCCCACAGAGGCCAGAAGAGAGCATTGAGACTGGAGTTACAGATGGTCATGAGTCATCATACAGATGCTGGACACCTAACCCAAGTCCTCTGGAGGAGCAGCCAGTGCTCTTAACCACAGAGCCATCTCTCTACAGTCTCCCAACTGGATTCTTGACTTGCTTTTGTTATTAATAAGGGAAGCCTTCCCTCTTTCAGTTAAGCATGAGCTTAGCTGTGGCTTTTCATGAATCCTCCTGCCCCCCAATCATATTAAGGAAATTTCTATTACTGGATTTTGAATATTTACACCATGAAAGGGTCTTAGATTTTGTCCAGCATCCTTTGTATGTCAATTGAGAGATATGGTTTTCTCCTGCTTTCCATTAATCTCATGTATTGCATTTATTTTCTTACACTGAACCATCTTTTAAAATGAAATAGGCCTAAAAAAACTTCAAGTGTATGTGTTCATATGGGTATGTGCGTGTGTGTGTGTGTGTGTGTGTGTGTGTGTGTGTGCGCGCATGTATGTGTGGAGACTACTATCTAGCCCAGGCTGGTCTCCAACTTGCATCACCCTGCCTCTTTCTTAGAGTGCTAGGGTTACAAGCATGTCCTATATGTCCAGCTAAGTAATCGATATTTATTTATTCATTTATTTCTTTTGGGTTTTCGAGATGAAGCCTTGCTATGTGTCCTCACCTGGCTTGGAACTTGCTATGTAAACCAGGCTGACCTTGAACTTACAATTCTCTTGCTTCTGCTTTCCAAGTGCTGGGATTGAACTGATATGCAACTATGCCTGGCGATTAAATTGAATATATTTTGAATTCATCAATATTTTTTGGTCAATTTGTTTAGATTTTCTCCTTAGACTATTAGAAACTCAAATTGTCATTATTCACAGATGATGTGCCTTTTGTACACCTTTTTGTTTTGAAGCTACATTAGCTAGTAGACTATTGA